GAAACCTCCAGCAGAACCAGGCTTAGTGTGGGTGGCCATCTGGGCCTTAGTATGCTTTTAATAGAGGATTGCTGTTGTCTTCACTGGGCTTCTTGCTTAATTGATCTCTATATTATCTCACACTAATCTTCTACTTGGTTATAGCAACACTTGATATAATAGGGGTTCACTTATTAGAATTGAATTAGAATTAGGCAAGTTGTATTTTTGAGGTTTATTTTTATTATTGGGCCACAATTGTGTTCTCAATCAACCCAAAAGACTCCTTTATATCAAAGTTTCCCATTTTTGGAAGTTGATGTGTTTTTTTTTTTCAGATTTGGCCATTTAATGAGGATGTCTGTGTGTGCAGGTAATTATTACTGTGCAGAATTATTAGGAAATAAAAAACAAATCTATACCCATCTCATATGTTTATTTTCACCAGCTAAACCAATATAACAACTCAAAATTCAGAAATAAACATTTGCGACATTCAGAAACAAATCAGTGACCAATATAGCCTCCTTTCTCCACCATGACGCTCTAAATCCTTCCATCCATAGATTCTCTCAGTGTCTTGATCTGTTTGCGATCCACATTGCGTGCAGCAGCCTCCACAGCCTCCCAGACACTGTTTTCCCTCCCTGTAGATCTCACCTTTCATGAAGGACCACAGGTTCTCCGTGGGGCTCAGATCAGGTGTCATTATGGTTTCTCCTTTAAGCCTTTTTCTGGCCGCCACGCTGTGGTGTATTCTGATGCGTGTGATGGAGCATCGTCCCGCATGAATATCAGGTTTCTATGGAATGACGGTGACTTCTTCTTGTTCCACTGTTTGAAGAAGGTGTCTTCCAGAAACTGGCAGTAGGTCTGGGAGTTGATCTTGACTCCATCATTAACCTGAAAAGGTCCCACAGGCTCATCTTTGATGATAGCAGCCCATAGCATTACCCCACCTCCACCTTGCTGGCGTCTGAGTGGATAAGGAACTTGCTGCCTTTACTGATCCAGCCTGGTGCCCATCCATCCATCTGGACCATCTAGACTCACTCTCATTCATCAGACCAAAACACCTTGGAGGAATCCGTCTGCAGAGATTTCTTGGCCCAATCTTGATGTTTTGTCTTGTGCGTCTTGTTCAAAGGTGGCCTTTTTTCAGCTTTCCTTACCTTGGCCAGGTCCCTGAGTATTGAGCACCTTGTGCTTCTCGGCGCTCCAGACATGTAGCAGCTCTAAAATATGGAACAACTGGTGGCTAATGGCTTCCTGGCAGCTTCATCCTTCTCAATTCAAGGGGAATTATTTTGTGTCTTATTTTTTCAACACGCTTCTTGCCCCTGTGGGCTATTTGCCAGGAACCGCTTGATTTTGCAATGATCCCGCTTCAAAAGCTTGGATATTTCCAAACTGCTGCTCCCCTCTGAAAGACATCTGACCATTTTTCACTTTTCACAGTCTGTCAAATCTCTTTTCTGATCCATTTTGCCAAAGGAAAGGAAGTTGCCTAATAATTAAGCACACTTTATATAGGGTGTGATGTCATTAGGCCACACCCCTTCTCATTACAGAGATGAACACCACCTGATTTACTTAATTGGTAGTTGGCTTTGAAGCCTGTACAGCTTGGAGTAGAACAACATGTATGAAAAGGATGATGTGGTGGAAACATTAATTTGCCTCATAATTCTGCACACAGTATATATATATATTAGTGCTGTCAATCGATTAAATTTTTTTAATCGCGATTAATCGCATCAATGCCTGAGTTAACTCGCGATTAATCGCATTTTAATCGCACATTTTTTTCCTGATTGAAAATCATTTAAATACTCTCGATG